ACAGAAATGTAAATTCAGCTGTCATTCATAGCATTCAGCAATTCACTACTGCTACATTAACTCTGACTAGTACCTGGTCAGAGAAGGACTGCCTTGCAGCCAGAAAAAAGGCTGAGAAGGAAGCTGTGCAAATAATAGCCAATTTTTAGACTGAAAGTGGGGGATGAACACCATTTATCCCAACCTGTACATGACAGACTCCAGTTATGTCGAGGGATTTCTTTTTTTGGGCCAGACTTCCTCAAGTGCTCTAATAAGCTCTGTTCTATACGCAATGCAAGTATAGGAAATGTCGGTTATTCAGATTTTAAGCTGAAACGGTCCTAACTAATAAGCAGATTATAGATAGCCACAATTTACTGGAATCTATCTGACTTGTCTCTTTTGACTCAGTTAGTTCCAAGATAATTTAGGCTCCTCAACACAAGGGTAAGCTTTTGTAATGATTTGGCTAAACAACCGCAAGCAGTTTCATTAGAAATTAATTAAGGTGAAGATATGATGTGTTTCATTTCAAGTACGTCTAGTGTTTTCTTTACTACAAGCACAAAGAAAGATGTGAAATTTGACTGTTACAAGTAGATTTATGTCCAAAAAGAGAAGTTACTCACCTTTGCCAAAGAAATCCCAATAGTTCCTGTACCACAGCAAATGTCAAGTACAGTACTCTCTTGGTTCAGCTGGGCCCATTCCCTAATGGCAGTATATAAAACTTCTGCAGCCTGTGTATTTACCTGTAAAATTATGTCAAGCGTGTCTACTTCTTCATAAACAGTAAATGCGTTTTAATGCATTTATCTTATGAACGCATGTTTTCCTTTTCCTTGTTTTTAAGAAACAAGTCAATTTCACATGTAAAATTTTAATAATGTACAACTGACCAAGACCAGCATGTACTAAGAAGTCACCATCCCATTGTTAAAGAAGTCTCACTCAATTTTCTCTGAGTAGTGGTGTTTTGGTATCTATGTTCTAGTAACAACATGACTTTTTTCACAGTACCTAAAAAGTAAGTTTGTAAACTGGAGAGGACAACAAACAAAATAATCAAGCAAAACGCTAAGCAATGAAGTCAAGTTTGGACATTAAAAATACTTCCTCCCCTTGAACACGAATGTAAATACTGAAGAGTCGACAACAGAAGGATGCAACCATGACAACGCATTCAGCAAGCTTTATTTTCACCTTATTTGTAAAACTGTGTTGAAGTCCTGTAATCACACCTTATCCTTAAGAAAGGAGTGTATAATAAGGAAGTTTTCCAAACCCATGCCTGGGGGATCGAGTATATTCTCTGTCTCAAAGGGTAAGCAAAGCACACCACCTGTGGAACCAACTAGTAGCCTAAAATCTAAGACAATGAATAGAAAATACAGTTTATCTTCAATAAATATAAGATGCCAGGTGATAACTTATTTCTTTCCTTACTTCAGCACTTAGTTTTAGTTTCAACAGAAGTGGCTATTTGCTGAAGCTTCAAAGTGCTGGAAGGGAAGAATCAAGTTTTAGGAAAGCAAAAAAAAAAAAAAAAAAAGTACTATGAAGATTCTTGAAACTGGCTACTACATGTTCTGTATACATAAAGGCCGCCCTTCAACAGGAGGCGAAAGATATTAAAATACTGAACTAGTAAGAAAAAAAAAAGTTATCTTCAACATGACCCCATTAAGTTTCCACTTGTTCACTGAGTATTCACAGGAGAACATAATACTTGCAAAGGCATTTCATCCTACCAAATATGTAGATGTGTAGATCTCTCAGTATATAATATAATATTTTGTTACCAACACATTAGTCAAGCTTGCTTTCTTTTCCTTAAATGCAATAATACAAATGCAAAAATACAGTTAAATTAACAACTTAGGATCATCCTTACTTGAAAAAATGCATGAGGAGAAATTCTAAATTTCAGGCCAAGAAGTTCTTCGTATATGTACTTATCACCAGCCACATGCTCCAAAGGCAAGTCTTCTAGATTGGGAGATTTTATGGGGAAGGGTGGGGGGGGGCGGGGGCAGGGGAAGAAGAAAAAAAAAAGTAGCCAAGCCTGTTTGTTAGTACATTTTTTACCATAGCTCCAGTCATAAAATAGTGCAAACTATGTTCAGCAAAACCCAGAACACTTACACTTTATGTACAGTATGCTGAAATAAAAGTTTACTTAGAGGGTAACCCTGTAAGAGGTTTCCTCCAAAGGAAAAAGGGTACACCTTATAGTCTTCCAAAAAGCTAATTTAAAATGTCTCATGCTTAGTACACGCAAGCCTTTTAATAAGAATAATCAGAACATGCATGCATCCACTTTCAACTCATGAAAAGAGGTGGGAATCACAGTAACAATGCAAGAGCTGAACTAAAGCTCCTAATGGTCAGATACCTGGCAGTTTTAGAGTACTATAGTCTGATAGTCTTTGTATGAATTGTATGCTTTATAGCAATTACACCAGAGAGTCTGATTTATCTCACAAATTGTAATACTACATACTAAGCAGTAATTTACAGTTGGCCAACATTTATTGTATTAAGAGACTATCTCCGTGACCAATTTTTCTTACAGAGTACAATTCTGGGTTCCATTGAGGAAAACAAAAAGGGCCTACGTTATCTCTAGAAGAAGAATGGGCTTTGTACTCTACGAAGGAGAGATGAGATGAAAAACCACATAAAATGATTAAGAAAGGAGATGGAAGCTACTTGCCAATAATAATAAATACCCTTCCACTACAGTAAATGCTCCTACAGCTTGATAGTCGTAGCTGGGTTCACCCACCAAAACTCAGCCTTTACCCAGTGAGCAATTAAAACTACAGGAGAAAAGGAATTTTCAGAGGTCTTTTATGGCAAAGGTAAGTAATGGTTCAACAGATGTGTAACAGTTCTGCTATCTTCTGTAACACATACAGAAAAAATAAGGCTCTAGAAGTATTACCTACTGTTCTGTTGCAAACAAAGAAATTCAGCCACCACAAAAATCCCCCAAAATAAACCCAAAACCTTGCTTACCTTTGGCCTTCTTCCACAAAGTACAGAGAAGTAACACCACTGTCCTTTCCCGTCCCTTCTATAAAGTACTTGGCCAGAGAAATTTTGAGGTCAGCTAGCTCTTCTTTACTTAATTTCTGAGAGTTTCATGCAAAATGAGGGAGAATAATAACCTTAGTTTTTTAAAAAAAAATAAGAGACTTCATTTAGTATATACCTTCTATAGGTATATTAATCTTGTTTATTTGCCTGTATCAGATTTTTCTAAATAGAAAAGTACTGATGCAACATAACACCAAGTAATGGTTCTATTTCTCTTTCACATGCAATATTCATAAAACCAAATGTATGTAATTTTAAAGCTGTATAGCTGGGCTGCACATTATCATCTTAAATACCTGAGGATTAAAATAAACAATTGCTAGGTTTCTGGGCTGTAAACTGAGTAAGGAGTAGACCTGCAATTTCCAAAAGCTCAGTTACCAAACAGAGAACTGTTTTTTTGCATGACATACAATAGTTTATATACACAAAAGTAACTGACCTGCCTGGTGATCAAAAACATTACATACAGGCAGAGTCTTCATTGATTTGTTGTCAAAAAAAAAACGATTTCCAAATCTTATTTAAGAAAAGAAAAAAACTTAAGCTGACAAACAGATCCTATCTCCTAATGCAAAATAATCTGCCTTTAATTCTCACAATCCCCTTTAACCAATCCAAAGTTGTTGATAGGATATGGACAGCTTCTTCTCACAATGTTCGGAGAATGACACAACTTTTTTATAAATGCCTTCGCTAGCTTCTGTGGTTTGTACCAAGTTCAAACTTTTAATCTTCAACATTCTTCCCAGGTATCAATATTTAAAGATTTAATTAAATTCTAAAGAAACTTCTCCTTTTCTCAAAAGCATTGTTACTCAGAAGTTTGCTACATTTGTTCTTGTGCCCTCTTATAGGATGATTATTCTCTAAATCAGCCAAGTAAACAATTGACCTTTGTTATTCATCTTTAAAAACCATCTTTCTGTGAGTAATGCTTTCTTTACAGTTACTGGATGAAGAAGCTTTCAAATACTACATGCTTTCTACTGTAGATTTAGACGTCTAACTGTTTGCAATGAAGCCTTGAGAGGTAGGTATCTGCCTCTCCGTCTCAGAACAGCTGAGCAGAAGGAAGTGAAAAATACCCAGTGATCTAGGCGCAAAATATAACTATCGAAGAATTGCTAAAGAATGAGACTAGTGTACATTAGGTCTTAAAGCTCAGAAGAAAAACTAAGTTTCTTATAATATTTCATTTTATGAATTTTTTGGGTATTTAAGAAATCAAAACCATTACAGATAACTCATTTAACTTTATCAGAGGCTTACCTTATGTAGTCTTGAAAAGCTTTTACTACTTTTTTGGCAATAGCGGGAATGTGAATAGTGTCAAATGGCTCCACTACAGCACACGTACCACCCTTATATTTGCCAAGACGACAACCCACAGTTTTGTCTTCTTGATTTACACCAATCCCAATCAAGAACTCACACTTGTTGCGATATTCAGTCTAGATTTAAAATAAAGTTATGTAAGATATTTGCATAGCACTTCTTTGTACATGCCAAGTTTCTCCTGAAACAACCCTCATATGCTCAAATGTACTTGCACATGGCCACAGAACATTTCACCTCATATGGAAAATACTCATAGACTTGGAAGGATGAGGAAATAACAGCAGTAATGAAAAGGTTTTAGTAGATCCTCTTATTTTAAAAGTAAAATATTACATTCTTTGAAGAATGGTTTGTATTAGCCTACAAAGCAAGCTTCCAGGGAGAGCATACTCATTCTAACGTTAGCATATCCAGTTAATTATAACTATTCCTTTGCTTCTAGTAAATATTTCCACTAAGTGCCATATGAAAGGCAACCACGTCTAAAATTCGTCCTTCCTTACAAGTTGCATACAAATATTCAGCTGGTCCACTGCCTCTTAAGATCAAATAATTCAGTTAACCCTGAGTGCATTAACTCCGTTTCATACTTACATCTGGGATTTGATTACCTGTAATGGTGATGCTTTCACTCCCTCTACTGGGCAACACATTTTATTATACTTCTGCTTCTGCACGAACAACCAAGGTAATAATGCCCTGTTGTTATTTCCTATTTCCCTGCCCAAATCAGAAACAAAAGTTTGAATGTATACACTTAGAAAAACATGGTCAGGTTAACAGTTGCACAGGACAATATGTATATATATTTTGCCTAGGCCAAAAAAAAAAGCTATTTGATTATGAGATGACTATTTTTCCAGAAGAATTTTTAAATGGGCAAAAAACCTCCATAATTACAAGAACTGTAAACCTTACACAATAAGAGAGTTAATGTAATTATAAAAGCACATACTAGATTTCTAAATGCACCCATGCAACAATAAGATACCAATTTTAATCTATGTAAGTGAATAAGGATAGGAGCAATACTTTGATCTGCAGAGACCAGGCTGAACTTAAGAATTGAGGATATTAATCTAAGAGGAAATCCTAATTGTATCTTGCCATCTCTGCAGATTACTGGCAAATTCGACACTGGCAAATTCTTTCTGACACAAACATCTGTCTGCATAGAAACAATTGATTGTAAAACAACATCCATTAACTTAGCGTGAAGCTGACCAAGGAATAATAATAACAATAGCAAGTTTTGTCAGCTGGAGCAGGCTACAGTCCTAGCATCACCGATAACTTTCAATTACTTTACTTTTTTGTCAGGGGATTTGTTCTTTGATACGCTTCTAACTTACTTTATTTTAGCGACAGAGATTTGCTCAAATTTAGCTATATCCCAACATAACTTCAAGTCTTGTAAAAATTACAGTAGCTTTACAAACAGGCATTACTTTGTCAGCTTCTGCAGCACTTGTTCGCATTCTTGCTTCTTTTTTGCCAGCTGTTCTTCATAGGGCACATTCCACAGCGGAGTCACCACGTCCGCTATCTGTTTACTAAGAGGCTCCTCTGCACTCGGTTTTGACAGCGCTAGCTGCTTTGCCTCTCTCATCTCAGTCTCCTCTTCTTCCTTCTTCCGTTTTTTCGCGATCGGGTCAGCCTTAGGCTTCGCAAGCCTAACGCTCAGGTGCCTGCTCTTCCACAGGGCTCCGTGCAGCACTTTCATGGCTTTGTCCCTTTCCTCCTCGCTCTTAAACGTCACGAACGCGAACGTCTGTTTTCCGAAAAGTTTTATCTTATGCGGATTGAGCCCGTATTTGGCAAGAAATTTTTTCACGTCGTTAAACCCGATGTATTTCGGGAGGTTCTGTATTTCTACTTTATAGATCTCAGAGGTGAACAAGTCTCCTTTGATGTATCTGTACACATCGGGCCGAGCCGAGGGACTCGCTGCCTCGCTCCCCTCGCCTCCAACTTGCTTAGTTTCCGACTCGGCCCCCGCTTTGG